GGTTTGATTGACCTTGTGGGCTGGGACTGGGAGACGGGTTCTTGCGGCTGTCGTTTTTATTATAATATTATTATCATTTCATTATTTACAATCTAACAAATAATCATAATAATTACTATTATTGTTATTGTTATTATTATATTATTATTATGATTATCATAATTATGTACCTATAAGACATTATTATTATTATTATCTTATTGACTATTAATTGTCACGCTTGCTGCGGCCTCGCCCTTTTTACTTTGGAGTGGTTTACGCAGAATACATCTATGGGAATTCTGGAGGGGAAAAACCATGTTGTGTTGCTTCCTTTATTCTCCATAACTGATGAATTTTTTTTTAAACCCCAGGTTTCTACATCTCCATATCCGAATAATACGTAAAACTGAAAAACAAAACAATTTGGAACGTAAAACTGTGGCCACGTGGTCTTTTATACTATTAAATTCGTCAATAGTTCACATCAATTAACACAAATTAAAGACATTATTGATGCTAACAACCTTATACAACATAAAATCATAATAATTGGAGGATAAAATTAGTACAAAGAATATTAATTTACCTCCAAACCCCTACAATAGGGCTGGATTGCTTGCGTTTAGGCCGACCACAGGCTGCCGTTGAAGTAAACAACAGAGTTCCAATACCGTCATGTACGCGATTTGGCACATAGGTCTTTGAAAACATTTTTAGTCATCTTTACTTTCTTAACTGGGCGCTACATTACAGGGCTCCCTTAATTGTATACAATTTACAATCATACATTTTATAACTACCTTAAAACTATAAACTTATTAAAACTTCTTGTCTGGAAAGTAAATACAAAAATAAAACATTTACATCTTTTATCACAAATAAATAAAGCTCTTTGGCGGGGACTTTCCCTGGATATAAAGTACACCCAGTAACCTGCTTTATTTCATGTTATGCACGACCTTGATGGTGATAGTGGCATCTACTGGCCAAAATTACAGGATTGTCTACTGCTTCATTCAAGTTTGCTTGACTAAGTCTTACTTGTACTTTCATTGATTCCATCAATACCATAAATGGTATTAATTTGTACAAACAAACTTTATTATTTAGGACTTTCTTTGTTTGAAGAACTTCTTTTTTAATCTGGATAGTATATTTACTCTGAAGCTTCCTTTATTATTAACTTTCTCTGGCCTCTTTTCAAGCTATCTGGAAACTGTCACAGGGACTATATGTTACATCAAACATCTTATCAATTTTCTCCTCAGATGTTTCCAGAGGAGTGGTTTCTTTATATACTTTGTAAGACTTAAACCACAATGCTGTAGCTCTTTTAGCTCTAAATACCAATCTGAGAAATAGTTAATCTATCAAAGCAATGATTATTCTTTCTTTGAAGTTACTACAAATGGACATTTCTTGACTTCTGGATACATCCTCAAAAATGGGCTCTTGTGCCCAGGAATCACAATATCCAAGTTTCTTCCAAAGAAAATTTTGGACCATTCACCACATCAAATTATCCATTTAATTCTTGAACAAAGTCCTACGTTGCAGCACAATCTGCTGATTTGACTATGACTGTACATAATTCCATTGAATAGGAATCAGTCCTATCCTAATTACTGAGAACTTTATTGCAACAAAAAATGAACCTTTGGCATCATTTGAAATGTATCCTAAGATTGTTACTTTACTGTCTGTCAACATATTTCCTTGATATTTTGATATCAAGCTCCTTTCTAAACATGGACACTTACTTTACTTGACACTACATGCCTGCTGTCAGTTCCAAATCTGGAATATAAAAGCTCCAATGGAGTAACTCTAGACTTGGACATAATAAAGGAACAATGAATTTCATCATTAACATTAACAAAATCTACTATATGAACACTGTCCATAGCCATCTTGGCAATGCATCTGAAAAATGGTGTAATTCTTACTGATCTTATTTCTCCAAAGCATTCTGGTTTATACATCTTGGCAACTTAAGGTTTCCTGCAACTCACATAATTCATTTCTCCATTTTTCCCACAAGGGTTTAATATGATCAGGCACAGGATCATCCCATTTACTTACCCATACATATCCTGGAGTATTTTCTTCCTAATAGACTCAATGGAGATACTAGTCCCAAGGATCAAAATATTGAGCTTACAGTTGAAAAAATGCCTCTTATAGTTAAAGGGCTTGCTATGAAATTAACTCTGAATTGAAAAGTACAGATTCTATGCACATTCTATTCCAAGTGTTTTTCCATTGGTGTGTATCTTTGTCAAGTCAAGACTTAAGGTTGTCAGATATTACTTCTGGACTAATAGCAGTATTTACTTCCTTTTCATTTGACGGAAAATTTGTGCAATGTGAAACCGCTAATTACATAACTTTTATTTTTATCAATCAAATCAATAGCTTCAGCTGACTGTTGACACTGACATTAACCAATCATCACTACTAACTTCTTCCTTTTGGATTGGTTCTGCATACCTTCTCTAGAGATCCTTCATAAATTTTACCATAATCTTCCTAGTAATCTTTCCTTTGCCTAAACTTCTTTTAAGACTTCTTAACCTCGTGCAAATTATATCTCTATTATTGGGAACCTGAAATCTATATTCTTTAAAGGCAGAGGCATTTCATAATGACCTCTTCAACCTGATGAATACCTTCTCTCATTCTTTTATAAACATTTTATCATCTTGATAAATAGGACAATCATCATTTACTTCATTAAAATCAAGCTCAAACATCTTTTTTACTTGCTCAGGATTAATAATCTCTTTGACCTTTGTAGGCACTGTGAAAAGACAACATTTCTTCTCATGATTAAATTATTACTTCTTGCATCATTGTTCTGTGCACTGACACTACATCTACTTCCTTTGAATCAACACCTCTGACTTTACCTACAATGCCCCAACCAAGATCAGTTCGTTTTGCATAGGGATCATTGTCATTGCCAGTAATGATTTCCTTTGGCTTAATTGCCTTAATACAATTGAGACCAATCAGGAGTCCTACTTCTACATCATCACTGTAAGGCATCAGTTTCTCTACTATTCTTTCCAAATGTGGCCACCCTCTGGCAGTTTCAGGTCTTGGTATTTGATCTCGTCTGCAAGGAATTACTTCTCTAGAATAAGTATGAGGCAATGGTATATCTCTATTTTCATACACACCCTTTACAATTAAACCACAAGTTTTAGAGCATGTAACAGTTTGTTCACCATTCATAGTAGCTAATCTTAGATGAACCTTTATTCCACCAATGCCTAACTTACCTAGAGCACTGTTTTTAATAAACACACATCAGACTGATCATCAAGTAATGCATACACCAAGACCTTTTTCTGCTCGTCACTTTTATGGTGCAACCACACAGGAACTATCATTGAGTTAACATCCATAGCAATACACTTGTTAACTTTAATTGTATTAGAAACATTTGCCTCTTTGTCTTGTTCCTTAACTTGAACTTTATTTTCAGACTCCCATCTGTTCTTTTGTACTAGTGCTTCATCATGGAGAGAAGTAGGATGCAATTTATTACAAGTTTTACATTTACTCCTTTGATGACAAAATCTTAATATGTGTCCCCTTTTTAGACAACCTCTACATAATTTGTTTTTATTAACAAAATTTCTTTTGTCTTTCAAATCCAAATTTGAAAACTTATTACAATTATTAAGATTATGTAGCTGACTGCAAAATGGGCAAGCAAATCTACTGTTGTCACTTATTTTATCATTGACTTCATTGGTTTCTGTGACAAAGCTCTTCACTAACCTTGACTTTTGTTTTTGAACATTTACTGTTATATTACCTCTAACACCTTTATCTTGAACTGCAGAGACTGAAGTAATTGGGTTGCATGCCTTTGAAGCTTCTTTTCTTACAAATGTACAAAATTTTGTGAAAGAGGGAAATTCTGCTGAATATAATAAGCCATCATCACTTTCATCATCAAGTTCACTGGCTTTATATAGCTCCCTATCTACAATTGTATTCCATCTTTCAACTATAGGATGTGGCCAATTTTTGTAACATTCTCTGATTCTCTTTGGGATCATTTAATATATTCAAATACTGAATATTACTCATTGCTGTCTTGCATGTCTCCAAGAAATCAGAAAATTTCATCAAAGCTGGTCCGTCACTTAGAGGAATCCTTGGCCACTCATGTAATTTCTCTCTATATGCATTAGCAATTACAAAGGCATTACCAAATCTTTGTTTTAAAAGCTTTCTAGCTTTACTGTAAGCTTCAGTACTATCTAATAACAAAAGTCCACTTATAACTTCTTTTGCTTCTCCATCTGTATATTTGCTTAAATAATACATTCTTTCAGCTGCTACTTTAGTTTTTGACTCAATTAAAGTATCAAATGACTTAACCCACATTGAATACTGAAGTATATCACCTTTGAAGACTTCTGGTTCAGGCCTAGGAAGTGAATCACTAATTTGCCTAGCACAAAGAATTTCAGCTAATTGTTGGATAGCATTCTTTTCTTCTGTTCTCCCTGAACAAGAACTTTCATCTGTTTGATTAACCAATACCTCATCCTTTGGAAAAAATGAATTAGCTTTAGGATTCAGATTACTCGCATATTCATCGTCAAGGTTTAGTTTCTCTCTTAGATCTTCATTTGATTTAACTTTACTCTCAGATACAATATGCTTATGGTGTGGCAATGTTTTCAAATGGGACTCCACATACCTTCTTGTATAATCTTGCTTACTCTCAACCCCTGATTCTTCTAATTTTACATTCTGAATTTCATTTTTGACTTCCAACATTTCTAGGTCTAACTTTGCTAACTTCTCAATTAATTCTTTCTGTCCTTTTGATGAAGAAATACTTGAACACCTAGAATGTCCACTACTCCTAATACTACCTGCAACTTGAACAAATTGTTTTGATCTTTCTCTGATATCAAATATAAGCCTTTGTGTGTCTTCCTCACATTTAATATATTGATCTGTAAATTTATTAGAAGGCTCCAGAGCTTCATATCTATCATAGGCATTCTGTACAGCTTCAAACTTGGTTACTAGTGAAATCCTAGCTTCCTTAATTTGATTAAATTCTAGATCATCTAATCTATTATTTATCTCAATATAAACTCTCTTCCAAGCAGTTTTTGCACTCAAAAAATTTGTCTTACAGACATCAACTTCATATTCATAACCTTTTTGAGTCTTAGTTCTAGATCTTACACTAGATACATCATCCTGAATAACATTCTCATGCAATTCTAACCCTTCAGGGTTTTCAACTTCAACAGTGTGACTCATAGTGAATACAGTGACTAAACAAAACAGCAATTATAAAAATACCTGTACTGCAACAGACACCAGTTAACCCACATAAACAATAACTTGTCTGCAATTACCTTATTTTAAACTACAGATCAATAGTGGGAACGTAAATAACCTTCTGGTGAATACCTGTTGTCCTCTTGCTGTGCTTGTCACTTCTTGTCCCTGTTGTTCTTGGAATGTTGTCGGTGGATGAACTAGTTAAGATCACACTTGACTGCTGTGGAGAATCAACTGCTCTACTGGCGCTGCAGCAAATAACAACTGTACTTGATAGAAGCTGTAGGCGTGTGATGCGTAGTACTGCCTTCTTTGGATGACACCTTTTTCATACTTCTTGGATGAAATCTCGACATAGCTTGTAATTTCCTGTTGCACTGTTGAGGTTTACTAGTTGGAGTTCTGCTTTCATGGTGTTTTACTTGGGTAGATATTACTGTCGTGGAGTAGGGCTCGAGTTTTACTTAGGGTGGAGTTTTACTTAGGGTGGAGTTTTACTTAGGGTGGAGTTTTACTTAGGGTGGAGTTGGTTTACTGCATGAATACATCTATGGATTCTGGAGAAAAACCATGGTTGTTGTTGCTTCCTTTATTCTCCATAACTGATGAATACAGTTTCTACATCTTCCATATCCGTAATCATACGTAAAACTGAAAACAAAACAATTTGGACGTAACAACTGTGGCCACGTGGTCTTTTATACTATTAAATTCGTAATAGTTCACACAATTAACACAATTAAAGCACATTATTGAATGCTAACAAACTTATACAACATAAAATCATAATAATTGGATGGATAAACTAGTACAAAGAATATAATTTACCTCCAAACCCCTACAATAGGGCCTGGTGCTGTTTAGGCGACCACAGCTGCCGTTGAAGTAAACAACCGAGTTCCAATACCCGTCTATGTATGCGACTTTGGCACATAGTCTTTTAAAACATTTTTATTCATCTTTACTTTCTTAACTGGGCTGCTACACTTACAATTATCATTACTACGAATATTATTATATTTAGAATTATTATTATTATTATCATTATCATCATTATTATTATCATTATCATCGTTATTATTAGTATTATCATTATTACTATTATATTACTATGAATATTACTATATTTAGAATTATTATTACTATTATCCTTATTATCGTCATCATCATCATTATCAAAATCATTATGTTATTATTACCATCATCATTATTGTTACTGTTAATACAATTATCATTATCATCATTATTTAACTTATCAACATTTTCTAAATACACAACTACATCATATTCATTCATAAAAAAATATGTTCCATTCATCCTTTTATTTCCTCTTGGATCCTAAAACAGATCCGGTTCCGAAATGCAACACGAAGCATTTGCTAAAGGATGTCTAACATTGCATATAAATAAATATTAGTGAACATCTATATCTTGTTTAAAAAGAAAGAAAGAAAGAAAGAAAGAAAGAAAGAAAAAAATATATATATAATATATATATTTTGGGGTTCAACCTGCTTTATCGCTATCATTTTTATCTATCATCCTCATTCCCGTTATCGTTACTATCCTATATACCATTACTATCAAATCTTAAATTATTAATGTCATTATCATTATTCTAGCATCATTAGTAATAAATATCACACAAGTATCATTATTACCAATAATATTATCATCACTGCTGTTCTAATTATCCTTAATCATAATCATCATTATAATTATCATCCTTTTCATCCTTATCCTCATCATAAACAGAACAAAAATAAATAAATAAATAAATAAATGAAATAATTCAGTTAACAATTTCTCTCACCGAACATTGGCTCAAATAGAATGTAAAGCTCAAGATTTTCTTTTCTTTTCCTTCTATTCTTGTGTCTTCTGCTTTCTTTCTTTCTTCCTTTCTCTCTTTCTTTCTCTCTCTTTCTTTCTTTCTCTCTCTCTCTCTTCTTTCTTTCTTTCTCTCTCTCTCTCTCTTTCTCTTCTAATTTTCTCCTCTTTAGTGTTATTTTTATCATTACTATTATCTTTGTTATTATTATTATCGTTATCATAACTTTCATTATTATTACTATTATCATATTAATATTTTCTCTTCTTTCCCATCTCCCGGTTTCTCAAGATTTTTCCATTCCCTCCTCCGAGATTCCCCCCCTTCCCCCCTTCCCTATAACTCCCCCTCCCCTCCCTCCTCCGGTCTTTTCCCCCCACCCCCCTCCGGTCTTCTCCCCCCCTCCCCCCTCCGGTCTTCTCCCCCCTCCCCCCTCCGGTCTTCTCCCCCCACCCCCTGGTTCCCCATCATTATCCTTCCCCTTTCTGCTTTTATATCCCCCCCCCCTATCTCCCCTTTCTCTCTCTCCTCAATGACTGGTCTTCCCCTTCCTAACTCTCCCGCACCCCCCACCCGTCCCCTTCTCCCCCCCACCCTATCCCCACTCTCACCTGACCCTCCTTCCCCCCCCATCCCATTCTCTCTCTTCCTCCCTCCTCCTCCCCTTCCCCACCCCATCCTCCCTCTTTCTCTCCTTCCCCTCTATTCTTTACCTCCCTACACCTCCTAACCCTCCCCTCCTATTCTCCCTCCTCTTCCTCTCTCCCCCTCCCCTTCCCCTTCCCTCCCCCATCCCATTCTCTCTCTTCCTCCTTCCCCCTTTTCCTTCTTCCTACCCTTCACTCCCCCCCTACACCTCCCCATTCTCCCTCTTCCTCCCTCCTCCTCTCCTTTCCCTCCCTCCTTCACCTATCTAACCACTCCTAACCCTCCCCCTCCCTTTCGCCTTCTTCCTCCCCATAACTCCCCCCTATCCCTCCCCTTCCCCATTCTCCTTCTTCCTCCCTTACCCCTTCTTCTTCTTCACTCCCCTTCCCTTACCCCTCCCCATTCCCCCTCTTCCTCCTCCTCCCTTTCTCCCTCCCCCACCCCATCCTCCATTCCCCCTCCCTCCCCCACCCCATCCTCCCTCCCCCTCTCCCTCCCCCATCCCCCTTCCCTCCCCCACCCCATCCGCCATCCCCCCTCTCCCTCCCCCTCCCCCCTCCCCCTCCCCCACCCATCCTCCCTTCCCTCTCCCTCCTCCCCCCCTTCCTCCAAATTCCGACCAGTGCTGACACGTGCGAAATCTGGCTGTCCTGTTGCCTTCGAATTCCTGTTTCAATTTGGCAAGGACTCTTCTTGGCCTTCGAGAATCCTGCCGCCTTTTCTCTCTCTCTCTCTCTCTCTCTCTCTGTCTCTGTCTCTCTTTCTCTCTTTCTCTCTCTTTCTCTTTCTCTCTCTCTCTCTCTCTCTCTCTCTCTCTGTCTCTCTTTCTCTCTCTCTCTTTCTCTTTCTCTCTCTCTGTCTCTGTCTCTCTTTCTCTCTCTCTCTCTCTCTCTTTCTCTCTCTCTCTCTCTCTCGCCTCTCTCTCCTCTCTCTCTCAAATAGAATGTAAAGCTCAATATTTCCTTTCCTTTTCTTCCCAATCTTGTGTCTTCTGCTTTCTTTCTTTCTTTCTCTCTCTTTCTCTCTCCCCCCTCTCTCTCTCTCTCTCTCTCTCTCTCTCTCTCTCGTCTCTCTCTCTCTCTCTCTCTCTCTCTCTCTCTCTCTATCTCTCTCTCCCCCTCTCTCTCTCTCGCTGAGTTGGGTTATTTTCGAGCTTTGGCGATTCGATTTTTTTTATTATTATCATTTTTAAGCAGAAGAGGAAGTGATAGCCGGTTTCTTTCTGTTTTTTTGTTTTTGTTTTTGTTTTATTATTATCATCATTGTTATGATTATGATTATCATTATTATTTCTATTATCATTATTATTTCTATTATCATTATTTCTATCATTATTAATACTATTATTATTATTATTATTATTATTATTATTATTATTATCATTATTATTATTATTGCTGTTATTATTATCATTGTTATTATCATTATTATTATTATTATTATTATTATTGTTATTATTATCATTCTCACGTTGTTGTTATTATTTCACGATTTTCTCTCTCTTTAATATCATTATCATCTTTCTCCTAACCATTGTATTTTACGCCTGATTCTCGCCAGCATCCCTTCAGGAGAAGCTGCCGGTAACGCAGATGCAGATGGAACGTGAGAGAGGAAGAGAAGAGAGAGGGAGGGAGGGAAGGAGGGAGGGAGGGAGGGAGGGGAGGGAGGGGAGGGAGGGAGGGAGGGGAGGGGAGGGGAGGGGAGGAAAGGGGAGGGATGGGGAGGGAGGGAGGGAGAGAGAGAGATGGATAGATAGATAGATAGATAGATAGATAGATAGATAGAGAGAGAGAGAGAGAGAGAGAGAGAGAGAGAGACAGACAGAGACAGAGACACACAAACAAACACACAACCAAACAAAGAGAGAAAAAAAGAAAAAGACCCACCCCCAAAAAAAAGAAAAAAGACAAACCAAACAAACAAATAGAAAACGAGGACACGAAACAACAACAACGTACACACAACAAAAAGAAGAGAAAAGAAACAGATTCAAAGACCACAAAGAAACGGCATCGCTCGCACCTTATCCGGACGCACACTTGGCACAGACTAACCTAAAGCCAAGAGCCGGAGAACAGAAGGGTTGGGAGAGGGAGGAGGAGAGGAGGGGGGGGAGGAGAGGAGGGGATGAGGAGAGGAGGGGAGGAGGGGAGGAGGAGAGGAGGGGAGGAGGAGAGGGAGGGGGAGGAGGGGAGGAGGAAGAGGAGGGGAGGAGGGGAGGAGGAAGGGAGGGAGGAAGGGAGGGAGGGAGGAAAAGGGAAGAGGAAAGAGAAGAGGGAAGAGGGAGGAAGGAGAAGGGAGGGAGGGAAGAAAGGAGAGCATGGGAGAGAAGAGTTGAGAGGAAGGGGGAAGAGAAGAGGGACAAGGGAAGAGGAAACAATGAGGGAGGGAGGGTAGAAAGAGAGATGGGGAGAGAGGTGTTGAGAGGAAGGGAAGAGGGAAGAGGGAAAGGGGAGGAGGGAAGGAGATGGAAAGGGAAGAGGAGGAGGGGACGAGTGTGGGTGAAGGAGAGAAAGTGTTGTGTAAGAAATGGAGAGAGGAGGGAGGGGAAGGGAAGAGGAGGATGATGGGAGGCGTGTGGAGAGGAATAAGGAAGAAGTGTGTAAATATCAACCCCCCTCCTCTTTTCCCCTATTCCCTCCCTCCTCCCTTCCTCTCGTTCCCTGTCTTCCTCCTCTCTTCCCTTTCATCTTTCTTCTCTCCCTTCTTTTCCTCCTCTCTTTCCCTTCCTCTTTCTTCTCGCCCTTCTTTTCCTCCTCTCTTCCCTTCCTCCTTCTTCTCTCCCTTCTTTTCCTCCTCCTCCTTCCTCTTCTTCTCGCCTTCTTTTCCTCCTCTCTTCCCTTTCCTCCTTCTTCTCTCCCTTCTTTTCCTCCTCTCTTCCCTTTCCTCTTTCTTCTCTCCCTTCTTCCTCCTCGTTCCCTTCTCTTTTTTCTTCTTCCCTTTTTTCCTCCCTCTTCCCTTCCTCTTTCTTCTCCCCTTCTTTTCCTCCTCTCTTTCCCTTCCTCTCTTCTCTCCTCCCTCTTCTCCCTAGGTTCCCCTCTCTATCTCTTACCTCCTTCATCCTCTCTCCCCTTTTCTCCTCCCTACCTCCTTCTCTCTCCCTTCTCCCTTCTCTCTGTCCTTCTTCTGTCCTCTCTGCCTCCTCCCTCTCTCCACTCTCTTCCTCTCCTCCCCCCCCTCTTCTCTCTCCTCTCTGCCCTCTCTTCCCCCCCTTCTCCTCTCTCTCTCCGCTTCTTCCTCTCTTCTCTCTTGCCTCTCTCCCATCTATTTCCTCTCTCTCTTCCCCTCTTCTCTCCCTCCTCTTAAGGACGCCAATGTACTTCTAACTCAACCCCGAGGTGAAATAACGGCAAATCTAAAAAAAGAAATTATGTACGGCAACAGAGGAAACCAATTACAGTTCGTATTTTAAAAGCGGAAGATGTTCTACGCCGCCCGACAGAGGGCAGCCCAGCAGGAGGGAGGGACGGGAGGGAGGAGGGGGAGGGAGGGAGGGTAGGCGA